TGGTGGCTTGCATGCATTGGTGCTGCTTTTTGGGCCCTCACATCCCTGCAGTCCCACTCCAGCAGGGTTGGATGTCCTGGTTGATTTCATCACTCACGTGTGATGGCCAGGGCCCATCTTGGTGTCTGCCTCTTTTCATGAAGCTTCCATGCTGATTGGTATCAGCTATCAGACACCCCTTCTACCCTCCAGGGCAAACACCGAGGACCCAGGTAGAAGCTGCCAGGCTTCTATGACCTTGCCTCAAAAACTTGCATGTTGCCTCCTCTACATTCCTGTAGTTTAGAGTAAGCTACAAGACCTGCTGAGGACTGAATGGGGGTGTGAGCGTGGGAGGTGCAGGTTATTTGGAATGAGCCACCTCTGCCTGACTCTGTAGGCCTGGGTGGATTTGACCAGCTATGAGCACTAGGTGCCTTGACATCCACAGAAGTCCTCAACTCACAGGGACCTGTTTGCATAGAGAAATGTCACAGGTTTCAGAAACCCATTCCCTTCAAATGGTGTATACCGTTTCTCAGACAACATGTATGCATGTGGAACTAGTGCCCACATATGCAAGGTTGTCAGTCTGAGCATTGCTGTGCTCCTTGTGAGCTGGGACCCATCCTAGAGCCAGTGCTGGGGCATAAAGTCACACCAGTTAGTGCCATGAGAGGAGGGGGCATGCAGACTGTTAGGACACAGTAGTATGTACAGCAGACGTAACCTTTGAGAGTTACCCACCATGGCCAGTTGTCTGCTACTTGCCAGTTTCACACTCGCAGTGAGCTGTCCTAGCTGCCTCAGAAGAGTTTTTGTTTGCTTTGTTTTTTTTTAAGATTTATTTATGCGTACAAGAACTGGGGTGTACAGGCCAGAGGTGCAGGGGGTGAGAGGATTCACCAGAGACAGTGGGGAACAGGCAGATTGACTGAAGTACATTGCTGAGGGGAGTAGTGGGCGAGTCAGGAGAGGTCTGCTGCGCCATGTGGGTAGCTCCCTGGCCAGGTATTGAACTCAGGCTGTGGATAGCTTCATAGGTTGCGTCTTAACCCCTTGCGCCACCAGGGAGGTCCTGCTTCAGAAGAGTTCTTGATAGCCATCTAGGGTGCATGAATCTCCTTGTCACTGAAGGTTGAGTCTCCTCTCACCTGCAACCCAGGGGAGTAGGAGACAGGGATTCTTGTTCAAGAGGCACAGGAAAGCATTTGCAGACTTGGAGCACAATGCAGCCTTAGCAAACTCCAGAGCTGTAGGAGCAGGTCCTACAGCCTCTCCCCCACCACCACCCCACATGTCACTAGGGAGACTCCTGCCCCTCTGACTGCACAGGAGTGGGGAAGGGAACACTGACTGATCACACTCCAGGGCTGGATGGGCTGGGGATATTTTTGAGGCACAGATGGTTTGAAGTGACTTGCTCTGGGGCTCACAAGGGGGGTGTGGAGGAGGGAATGTGGTGAAGGCAGGGCTCACGCAGGAAGTGTCTGTGGTAGGAGTTGGGGTATGCAAAACCTAGGGGTTTGGCCTGGGAGGTGTGAGCAGCTCCTGGGGAGGGGGCAGTCTGGCTGGGTCCACGATGAGTGTTTGAGAAGGAGCATAGCTCTCAAGCCTTCTTTAAATAGCTTCCCACCCAGCCTGAGTTCTCATTGAGCCACAGTTTCAGCATCACCTCAACATCCCTAGTGTGTGCAGGGCTCTTGATTTTGTGACTTGCAGACTTTGCGTGGGTCTGGGGGGCATGTGCTTCATGCCTACACTGAGAAGTTACCTAGTGCTCTATGTGTCAGTCCACTCCCACCTATGTTCCTTCTCCCTCCTCATGTGGGTCTGTCCCTCCTGGTGGACCTTAAGGACTGAGCCACCTTTTATCTGGGACTTAACCCCACTGCCTACGTAGCACCGGCATTCTGGGTGGGTTGCAGCAAACATGAATGAGTGAAGGGTATAGATGAAGTTTGCTTCGCCTTATCAGGCTGTTCAAGGACCAGGGTGCCCAGGACAGTTTCTGTGTTCCCTTGGTGATGCCTTCCCCTGGTACAGCTGGAAGACACTGACCACTGGGTGGTGAGCGGCCTTACTCTATACCCTGGTCGTGAAATTAGATTTATAATCCCACCTTCCCTCCAGACAGATCACAGAACTGTTGTTTGTTTAGTCAGGGCTGCTTCTAGTGCTTTTTCCTTTGTTACCTAAACTTTCTTTTGATCATATTTTACCCAAGGGCTCCTGAGATGGCCAGGACAGGGTTATTGGAGGTACCCTGAAATCATGTGGTTTCCAAGTAAACTTGGTACCTCGCCCTCCCTGCTCCCTACGTGTCCAGTAAACTGCCATCTCCCCCCACCCCCACCCCTGCCCCAGCACAATGGGCCAAGGTTCTTCTCTCATGTTCTCCAGCCTAAGTAGTTTGATAACTTAACTTTTTAAAAGAATGCCTGCAGTAGTTTTAAGCCTGTGTCAAAGGAGTATCTTTCTCAAAGTAAAGAACTCTGGAAGGTTCTGAGTGGAAGACCTTCACTTCACAGACAGAATTTGGGGACTTTTGTCTTGTTGGAAAGTAGAGGGGCTGCTGGCCTCTGTGTGTGGAAAAGACACCCCCACAGGCCTCACACACAGGAAGTGCTGCAGTCGGCACTGGCACCTCCATTTTCTGACATCACCTGCACCCTACCTCACTTCTCAAAATGAAGGCTGTGTGTCACAAACCGGTTAGAACTGGCTGTTGCCATGGTTTTTACTTTGGAAGGCACAGTTAAGGTGTCACATGACTGAGGAGGGAAATGCCTTTGTCACATGACATTTTTTGTGGCCTGATTAGCATACAGGAAGTTCACTCCTGGCTGCTGGGATGCTGAGTGATCATTGATGGGAGGTGACATCAGTTTGAGGACTAGTTATTGATCAGTCTCCGGTCGAGATGGGCCCTGGTGTACTGTGGTCAGAGTGGGTCTCTCAATCCTACCCCAGCACTCTTCCCTCAAGCAGATTTGAGTTGTATTAAGCACCTTACCTTTGGAAGAACTGTGTGATGAGATAAACAGGTGATAAGTCTCATAGATGGGTCATCTCAGCTGCAGTCTGTAACTCTAGATGTGCTTCTGCTTGAGCTGCTACTCCTTGGAGAGCTACTTGGGAACCTCCTTGAGTTGGTCCTTGCATCCACAGAACATAGAATTGGAGCATCGAGGTCATCTTGAAAGTTCCAGATGGAATGGGGTGGTCAGCCAGAGACAGATGGGAAGAGCAGGAACAGTTCCCAAATTTGCACTGGTCTATTGGCTCCATGAGACCCGAGTGAGATGTCCTGGATGACTTTATGAACAGCTTCTGGACTTGAGAATGTCACTGATAACCCAGGAAGGGGATTGTGCTACTTGAGTATGGTGTTTTCTGTCATGCTGCTCTCCTGCGAGAGGACTGACAGCCATACTGATGCAGGAGAATTGAGGTGCAGTGCCTGTAGTGGGGTGGGAGGGTAGAGTCTAGGTGGAATCAGCAAACCCTGGAAAACTGGTCCTCTGCCCCCTTTTCCCTAAGGATGCAACTCACTTCGTGGGTGGGAAGGGCTGTTTCAGGTCCCACATGGTCCCCCTCCCCACTCAGCCAAAGTCCAGCAGGAGTAGTGGGAACTCCAAGTTTACTCCAGTTAACTTCAGTCTGTGCTCTGGACCATAGAGCCACCTAGTGGACACATTTGGTCCTGGCCAGCTTTCCTGCCAACCAAGGATGGGATTCCTTAACACAAGTGCTGAGTCTGAGATCTTAAGGGAAAGTTTATGTTGTGCCCTCAGCTCATGAAGCTGCTTGTTTTGGTCAGGGACCTTGATTGTGGTGAGGTTCCATCTCTGGGACCTTTAGTCCTCATGGTTTGGGGTCACATCACTGTGGCAGCAATTCAGCAGCACCCAATATGCAATATGTCCTCAAAATCTTTGGCAAGAGGGGAAGGCAAATGTCACATGTTCCTGTGTGGGCTCTGTAGTGTGACATGCATTGACCTCTGAGCAGTCATCCGTGTGCACGCAAACATTTGTGAACTTGTCCTGACAGGATAGCAATTGGAAGACCTGAGTGGCATTTCACAGGTGTGACCTGTTATCCCCTCTGTTCAAAGAGGAGGAACAGGCAAGTCCCCCATGGCAGTGAGCTCCCAGAACAGTATAGGCAATAAGTGGAGAGTGAATTTATCACAAAGGAGTGTGGATTGAAATGATGGGTGTTTCATGGTGCAGTTTGAATTTGTAGGTGGGCGGGGTTGGAGTAAGAGGCCAAAGGGTAATGGGCAGAGTAGCCTTAACACCAGCAGGGCAGACTAGTCCATGCACTGTTAGAGTGTGGAGGTGGGGTAGCTGGAAACCAGTTTGAGCAGATGAGGTAGGTGGAGCATACTCAGATCTATTCCATAGTCAGTCCACTTCTAAACATGAACCCTGATGCCACTTTGAACTGGCTTGAGGAAGAGGCCACTTGTGGCTCAGAAAGGACTGCCAGCAGGCAGCCTTGGCCACCTTGGGAGGGTGTAACACACCTGTGCCTGGGAGTGCAAGCGGAGGCCAAAAGCATGTGGAAAAACCCCTCTGTCCATCAGGGAACAGGGAGCCATCCAGGTGTGAGGGCTGGCCTTCACGTCAGGTAACTTGCAGGTCCCTGGTTTGTGAGGCAAACATGTACCCTTGCACCAGCAGAAAGGAGCCCCAGGAGGGCTGGGATCCAGGGTCTCAAACATTTTTACCTGACATCAAGCCACGTGATAGAGGAGGAAGCAACAGTGTGTTTCAGGTGTTTGGAACCTGGGGACATGGAGGTGGATATGAAGAACAGTCCCAGCTTTTGAGGGCCTTGTAGTATACTGTGACTTGGTGTTGCTGGTGCATAGAGTGAGGACAGCCAGGTGGTCAGCTCACCAGCTCACTGGGTCTTTGTCTGAACCAGACACTTGTTTGGGTGTGAGTAGGCCCTGGGTTTGATGGTGGCACTGCTGATCCTCTGTTTACACCCCTCTCTCTACTCTGCAGTGACATGAAGTTGGAGAGGAGAGCCCCCTCACCTGATGTGATTGTCCTCTCTGACAATGAGCAGCCTACGAGCCCACGGGTGAATGGACTGACCAAGGAGGCCTTGAAGGAGACCAGCACCGAGGCCCTCCTGGTGAGCTATTGCCTGATGGCACCCCATGTAGAGCTGGCAACAAGGGGTCGTCTCTCCAGGTTCCCCTCAACGCTGTCCCCTTGTCCTTGCAGAAAAGCAGTCCTGAGGAACGAGAAAGGATGATTAAGCAGCTGAAAGAAGAGTTAAGATTAGAAGAAGCAAAGCTTGTTTTATTGAAGAAGTTGCGTCAAAGTCAGATACAAAAGGAGACTACCACCCAGAAGGTGTGTGTGTATCCATTCCCTCATTCAGGGTCAACGGGAACTAAAAGCCTGATTGGGGAGTCAGGGGTGCTGTGTTTTTTCGGGGGTGCTGAACTGAGGTCCAGGGTCTAAATAGAAAGTTGTGGTTCAGATTCAGATTTTGGGTTTAGCTAAAAGGATATCAGAATAAAAGGATAGCAGCAGAGTGTATTTTGGTCTAGAAAGTCTGGATCTGAATGTGTAAAAGGCTTAGACTAGAAACATCAAGGAAACAGCAGATGACCTGGGAACTTCTGGAAGCGTGGTTCCTGGCCTGCTTCCACAGGGGCCTGCCAGACATGGCTGCTCTCAGAGGCCATATCCTGGGGCTCCTGTTCCTGCCATCTACCCTGGTGCCTCAAGCTTTCTATTGTGTTGCTTCTAAACTCAGTATACCTTGTAGTACAAGATCAGGTCTGTTTCCTGGTGCCCTTTCTTTTACTCTAACCACTCTCCTTATAAACCATAAAATTCAAGCGGACTTGTGTTTAAGAGCACATGTTTCCTGCAAGGATAAGAGTGGGAGGGTGCTCACTGATCTGACCTGAGGTTTGCTAGAGCACCCACCTCCAGGCAGTTAGCAAGTGGCTTGGTGTCTGTGCGTCTTCTGATGGCTAAATCTGTCCTATGTTCCTTGTCAATTGTTGAAGACTTTGTGAAGTGACCTACCACTGTCCTTCTCAGTGGAAATGTACTTTCCAACTCCAAAGGGTGGACTAACCTTTCTGGTCCCAGGTCCTTTCCCCTCACTTAAACCACAAAGTGATGCCAAGAGTCCCCCGTGGGTGAGGGATGCTTGAAATCTCCCTGTTGTCCATTTTGAATATGTCGACTCCTGGGAAGAATCACAGAGTCGCTTACCAGGCTGGAGGCAGAATCTTTGAGAGCCTGGTACCTTTGAAGAGAAAGAAACCAATTCTCTTTATCAGAACGTATAATGGGGATGGGGCAGGGTAAGGCTGGTGGCTCTCTCATCTCCCGAGTGTCCTGTTCTCTCACAGCCTGCAGGCTCCACGGGGAGCTCTGTGACCACCCCTCCCCCACTTGTGCGGGGCACGCAGAACATTCCTTCCGGCAAGCCATCACTTCAGGTTAGTGTCCACTATATAGCCCCAGTCAGCTCCTGCAAAAGGCTGCCCATTACTTTTGAGCTAGCCAGAGTGAGGCCTTCCCTCTGGCAGCCCAAAAAATCAACTTTGTGGTCCTAAACCATGAGGCCCAAACAAGGCCATCATTGGCATCCTAAATAATAAGTTGGGGTGGGCCCCCTCCCCATCCTATCAGCACTCCTGGGAAACTGGAAAGATCTGAGGTCCCAGACTTGACCAGATTCCCTTTGTCACAATTCCTGAGGGTGGTCACGGGGCCTGATTGCTCCATGTCCTGGCTTGTTCATGGTCTCCTCTGCCCACGAGGTGAGATGTGCAATGCACCCATGCCTGAGCCCTGACTCAGAGAGATAGCACATGTCCTGGCTAGCTGGACGTGGGTGTGTACGTGTGCGTGTACGTGTGCACGCATGCACCCTGCACTCCTTGGTGGAGCTCACTTCTGAGTGAGCCCAGGTTTGTGAGCTTTTGTCAGAATCCACATTTCTTGTTCTTCATGATTAGAAGAAATTTTTTCTTCTATTGGCCCCTTTCTTTAAACAAACATGCCCTTTTACAAAAGTAAACCGCTTGTTAAAAAAAGCTGTGTCAGCTCTGGGGTTGGTGTCATTGACAGACTTCCTCAACTCGAATGCCTGGCAGTGTCATCCCACCACCCTTGGTCCGTGGTGGGCAGCAGGTGTCCTCGAAGCTGGGGCCACAGGCAAGCTCGCAGGTCGTCATGCCACCACTCGTCAGGGGGGCCCAGGTGAGCTGGGCACTGAGGGGGGCAGCCCAAGCAACTGTCCCCCTCACAAAAACTACCCTTCCCTCTACCATCCTGCTCACCATCTTGTCCTCCACCCTACTCCCACAGCAAATCCACAACATCAGACAGCATTCCAGCACGGGGCCGCCACCACTCCTCCTGGCCCCCCGGGCGTCTGTACCCAGTGTGCAAATTCAGGGACAGAGGATCATTCAGCAGGGTCTCATCCGTGTCGCCAACGTTCCCAACACCAGCCTGCTTGTCAACATCCCCCAGGTGAGAGTGCTGCAGCCTTCCCCTCCAGGACCCATAATTCTAGGGATTGTCTCCAAAACATGTGATTTGACCCACCTTGCTTCGTTAGATAGGTGGGACCTAGGGCAACCCATCCCCGTGGAGTTTGTATCTGCACACAGGGGTCCTGTGTGCAGATCTGCTGTCTGGCAGAGGTGGCTTGGAAGGAGGTAGACCTGGGCTGAGATGGGAGGTAGCTTCAGGAGCTGTGTGGGGCCAGCAGGTTTGGGGAAATAGAGTAGGCTAGTTGAGTCATCCTGTGGGCTTGCAATTGTGGGGTGCGCCCTCTTGGGCACCAGGGCTCCCTTTCTGCTACAGGCACAGCACATGAGGAAGTCCTTACAGCACTGACGTGTGTTCTTAGGCACACATACCTCACCTCTACATAGAGCTTGAACTGGGGAGAGTCTGTTTTCCAAAGAGCTAGGAAATGGGACCGGTGGGTAGTGGATGGGCTGGGAAGAGGAGCCCCATTGCAGATAAAATGATAGCTTCTACAGGGCTTTGTTGACAGCTCTGTGGACGGCTCATCATCTTGGGTGCTATATGTCTGTACCACTCTCCTCACATGAGCATGACCAGTAGGGCTCTGGGCAGCATCCTTGCCTCCTCTAAAGGCAGGTTCTTTATTATTATTATTTTTAAAAAAGATTTTACTTATTTTTGCGTAAAAGAACTGGGGTGTGGGGGATAAGATGATTCACCAGACACAAGAGTGCGGAGCAGAACAGGCAGATCTTCTGAAATACACTGCTGAGGAGGGCAGTGGAGGTCTGCTGCGCCATGTGGGTGAGCCCCCTGCCCAGGGATGGAACTCAGGCTGCTGTGGAGGGCTGTCATGGTGGTAGCGCTGAGACTTAACCCCTAGGCCACCAGGGAGACCCTAAAGGTAGGTTCTAACACAGTCTTGCTACCCTTGTGGAGCAATTTCCTCCATTTGTAAACCTTTGCCCTATTCTGTATACCCCACTGCTCTCTGTCTTGAGGATGGAGATGGGGCAGCTGTAGGGCCAGGCTGTCAGGGGTTCTCCCATGGCATCCTCTACATCTGGATGCTCCCTTTTTGAGAATGGGAGTCCTGGGAGGTGTCCAAGACCCCTAAGTTCTGTGATGTGTTGTGTGTGGGTTATTGGGGGAGGGATAGGTGCAAAGCTTCCTCAGATTCCCAACAGGACCCCTACCTCCAACTGATGATCCACTTTGGGTTTGGGAAGAGAAATCACTTGTCAATGTTGGGGTCAAGTGTCCTGGAGCAAGGAGACAAGGAATGTTAATAAAGCGGTGTGAGGGCAGGAGAAGGGGAGAAAAGGGAGTGACAACGGGGTGGGGTGTGTACAGGTGTCTAGAGACCATTCTGAGGTGGAGTCAGGCCATAGTGATGGGACTGACCATGTTCCTTTGTGGGGATAATTGCCTGGGAGCCCCACTGTCCTGGTTGTGGTAGATGGCTTCCTGGGTGTCTTTGTGGCAAATTGCAGGTTTGAAATGTGTGTGGCTCACTGGACATCAGCTAAGCCTTGCCAAGGCTGTTTGTCAGACTGGTCATCTCATGAGGTGTTGGGTCCTGTGCCATTTGCCTACATTTGCAGGTGTTCCTCTTAAGGACTTAGCCAGTACAGTGAATGGCACTATTTCTGGGTAGTGGGTGCAGCATATGGTGCCTGCCTCAGGGCAACACTCAGTGTTCTGACCATTTTCTTATCTCCCTAAAGCCCTCTGCAGCATCACTGAAAGGCACGACGGCCACCTCTGCTCAAGCCAACTCTACCCCCACCAGCGTGGCCTCTGTGGTCACTTCTGTTGATTCTCCAGCTAGTCGGCAGGCGGCTGCCAAGCTGGCACTGCGCAAGCAACTGGAGAAGACACTGCTTGAAATTCCCCCACCCAAGCCCCCTGCTCCAGAGATGAACTTCCTGCCTAGTGCTGCAAACAATGAGTTCATCTACCTAGTGGGGCTGGAGGAAGTGGTGCAGAACCTGCTGGAAACACAAGGTGGGGTCTCATAGTCCCTCTCCTGGAGCTCCCTTTACATGGGTTTTATCCAATGCGTGGCTCCTGTGTGCATCTATCATGTACCCTGAGCCATCTGGGTGCATCTTACAGGCATTTTGTCAGTCCAGCTTGCAGTGAGGTTGGATGACTTCTTAAACATCACAGGCACCTTCGGTTGGGGCTTTTGAAAACCAACCTGAGGCTCTAAGCTCATGAGCCAGAGGGACAGGCAACCACAACCCTGGGACTCTCAGTGTATGGGGAGCAGACAAAACAGGAACATGCAGCTAGGCCTCCCTGAGACTATCCCAAGTGTCAGTACCAGTGGGTGCCCGATAAATGTTTGCAGGACACAGAGACATTACTGACAGAGGATTTGGCTTCCTGGTGTCATGTGTCCCTCAGGGGTGGTGAGATCTGACTGGCCTTCTGACCTCCTGACCAAGCTCACTCGTTTTCCAACAGCAGGCAGGGTGTCCGCTGCAGTTGTGCTGTCACGGGATCCCTACATGTGTGCACAGTGCAAGACAGACTTCACGTGCCGCTGGCGGGAGGAGAAGGGGGGTGCCATCATGTGTGAAAATTGCATGGCATCCAACCAGAAGAAGGCACTCAAGGTGGAGCACACCAGCCGACTGAAGGCTGCCTTCGTGAAGGCGCTACAGCAGGAACAGGAGATTGAACAGCGCCTCCTGCAGCAGGGTGCTGCCCCCATGCAGGCCAAGGCCGAGTCGACTGCCCCACATCCCACATTGAAGCAGGTGAGAGTCCAGCCCTACTCTGTGTGCCAGTGGCCTTGTTCCCAGGATGGGGCCTCGCTCCTTTGGCAGGGAGCTGTTGTTGGCAGGCAAAATATTCCAGAGTTCTGTCCACACTCAGCCCTCATCTGCCTGTTTGTTAATTGTATGTCTAAATTGCATTTAATGGTGGTGTTTGGCAGTGAAAAATACTAATTTGCAGTTTCTTTAGACTTTGTAGCTTTCACTCACAGTGTGCTGGCTGACAAGTACTTCTTGTCTAAAAGGACTTTTTTGAAATCCACAATGAGAGATTAAAGGGGCGTTTGGAAGAAATGTTCTAGCTAAATTAAGGAGAGAAGCAAGTTTGAAATCAAGTTTTTTGATTGCTTTTTTAATGCTTTGTTGCCTACCCCTATGGATCCGAAGCTCCCTATTGGCAAATTTTTGTGTCCTTGAAAGTTACTTGTGATTCACTAAACACATCTTCTCAGGATTCCTACTTAGCCGGGTGACTATGTTATCCTTGGGAAACGGCCTGTCCTGTGTGTCCTAGGCCTGACTCCGCCACAGCTGCTCACTTTGTTCACTTTGGGTCATTCTAGACTGGCTCATGGACAGTGCTGACCTTGATTTCAACCCCCATTTGTGTAGGTCATAAAACCCCGGCGTAAATTGGCGTTCCGCTCAGGAGAGGCCCGCGACTGGAGTAATGGGGCCGTGCTACAGGTCAGAACTGTGGTGTGGGAGCCCAGGCACCATGCCACCAACCAGCCCTCACGCCCAGATTGTGACCACGTCACCAACTATCGCACTGCCTGTGTCTTTGTCTCTGTCTCTCTCTCCCTCTCCCCACCAACCCATGCACTTCCCTTTCACTCCCCTCTTGGTGTAACTTACCTGGTCTCCTGATTTTGAACTTTAGGGACTCTGTGGGTGGGAAGAGGTCAGCCAGAGCAAGGAGAGGCTTCACTGAGCATCTCACCCTCTCAATCCCTTCTCCACATGAGCTGTTGCCCTCTCTCCAATGTAGGCCTCCAGCCAGCTGTCTCGAGGTTCGGCCACGACTCCCCGAGGTGTCCTGCACACGTTCAGCCAGTCACCCAAACTGCAGAACTCAGCCTCGGCCACAGCCCTTGTCAGCAGGTCAGGTAGACATCCAGAGAGGGCTGTGAGTGCTGGCAAGGGCAATGCCACCTCCAACTGGAAGAAAGCACCCCTGAGCACAGGTGGGTGGCCCTATGGGCCTCAGAGTGAGATGTGCCACAGGAGGGTTCCTTTCCTTTAAATTTTTTTTCGCATCCCCCTTTCCTTATTTTTAGCAAAGATGTGTACGTGGGTGAGAAGAAGTGGCACAAAGGCCCCTTGACCTTCAGCCCTTCTCTGTGAGAGCTGCTGCCTGTCACTTGTCATTGAGTCTCTTTTTGCAAAGCAGGATGCCGAGAATAAGTGGTGGCTTTGGTGGATGCTAATCCTCTCACTACCTGCATACTCTGTACCTAGACTTGCAGCCTTTAACCGAGAGTTGTTCTTTGGTTTGCACATGTCGGGTGGTACAGAGTGCAAAATAGGACAAGGACATGGGAAGGAGGGTCCTGAGGCAGGGTGTTGGGTCTCAGTGGGGCAATAAACGGCTAAATGAAGGAGGCAGCTGCCTCTCAGAGTTTGCTGCATCTCTGTAAGAAGAGGAGGCACCCCCATACGTGCTTTCTCCATAGTCAGAAGCGGGAGAACTAGGCTATCTGTGTACATAAAACAGAGGAGCCCACTGTGCACATAGCAAACAAGTTAGAAACATACCTTCCTTGGGACAGCAAGCTCAGGACGGGGGTGTGGGATCCATGCTGCCTGAAAAGTGTAAACATCAACAGCAAATTTGAAATACAGCCTGGAACTGATGCTAGACTGAAATTCCTTGTGTTGGAAATTTGAGGTTTTTAAATGAGTGGTAAAGTTTGTTTGTGTGTATGTGTGTGCGTGCGTGCACACATGTATGCACACACGCACATACACAGTAATAGCAACCAAGTGAAAGCTCCTGTGTGTGTAAGGTGAACCTGAAAGGGAACATGAGATTGTAAGATCAGAGGTCAGAGTGTTGATTCACAAGGAACATTTCCAGACAGAGTTTGCCAGTGCTTGTGGCTACCCCAGGTATGACAGTGGTGAGCTGGTTTTGGAGAGCTGGCCTTGCATGGGTTCACGCATCTGACCTCAGAACACTTGTTCACTAAAACGTACTAACCTCCACCAAGAATACACTGAGTAATTCAATGATGTGGGCCACTGCAGCTCAGTGCCAGTCCTTACCCCTTGGCCAAAAATTGTTTGGGGTGGGGCGGTCAGGTCTCCATTTTCCAAAGACAAAAGTGACACTTGCTAATCATGGACATTTGGAGAACACAGAGAGAAGATAGTGATGACAGTGCTTTATACACCAAGAACAGACGCTGCATTTTGGGACTTCTTCCCCAGTCTGCTTCTGCACTCCACTGTCCTGTGTGTAAGCAGATGTCCACAGAGGGAACACTGGGCCATGTCTAATGCTGCATGGTATTCCATCATACTGACTCACTGTTGTTTGCAGTGCTTCATTGTTCTGAACACAGTGGTAAATTCCTTGCTTAGCTCTTGGCTAGCTGATGCACCCTAATTATTAATAACAATCTGTAGGGTTATCATCACAACAGAGGGGGGCCGTATCTAGAAGGCCTCTGAGTCCTTCAATTCTTCTTCTTCTTCTTCTTCTTCTTCTTTTTTAAAGATTTATTTATTTATTTATACAAGCACTGGGTACAGTCAGAAGCACCGGAGGGTAAGAGAATTCACCAGAGCCAGAGCAGGGAACAGAACAGGCAGTGATGAAATACACTGCTGAGGGGAGCAGCGGGCGCGGCAGGAGAGGTCTGTCGTGCCATGTGGGACCCTTGCCAGCGGCCGGGGATCGAACCGGTGCTGCAGAGGCTGCGGGCAGCTTCGCAGCCCAGCTCTCAACCACTGCGCCATCAGGGGAGGCCCATGAGTCCTTCAAGTCTTTTAAGCCCCGAGGCTGGTGTTTCAGTTGGCCAGAGGCGGCTCGGAGCCTTCAGACACCTCTCCTTGACACACTCTCTGTTCTGTTGCAGGGGGGGCCCTTGCATTTGTTAGCCCCACCTTGGCAGTGCACAAGACCTCCTCGGCTGTCGACCGCCAGCGGGAGTACCTCCTGGACATGATTCCACCACGCTCCATCCCCCAGTCGGCCACATGGAAATAGATCGAGCCAGCCCAGTGGAGAACAGGCTCCCTTTGTCCTCCTGCCTGGCCCTGCCACCCTCTGCTCGGGAAGACACTGCTCCTGAGAGAGCAAGTGAGCGCACTGCCTCTGTTCCTGGCTGCAGTCGCCTTCTGGTTGGAGGCCACTTCACAGGTGGATGAGGCTCATCAGTGGGGGACCTTTCCCTTGGGCTTTCTTCCTTTCTTTGCCTTTAGTTTGCCCAACACCAGCAGAAAAGCGGACCTGGGGGCTGGTTCTGCTCCCAGGCCTCCCCTTAGCCCCTGGCAGGGCACCAGGCGCTCACTCTGGACACTGTGACATGCTCGGGCGAGGGCCAGCGCCCAGGGCTTCTGAAGTTGAGCGGAGCTTTCTATTTTGTTTTCGCTTTTCCCCGTCTTAGCCTCCCAATCTCTGACTGCCTTCCTTCATGGCAATCTCTAGGCTGAAAGATTTTTTTCAAATCACCTCATGATGATGGAGTTTAAAGTAAACCGTTCAGACCCAGGGGTCCCTGCCGAGCATGGCCCCCACACCCCAGAGGGTGGGCCACTGACAGCGCCACAGCCCCCGGTGGATGGTCACCTAGCCCTCGCTCTTGCTGCTTGTCCTGGAGGGCCCTGCCTCACTTAGCAGAACAGCCAGAGAACCCAGGATTCTGGAAGCCGCACCACCTTCGGAGGAGAGAGAGGCAAGAGTCGTCAGTGGAGTCCACAGGCCTGAGCAGGAAGTTGGAAGAGGGAGGGCTGTTGTGTTTTTTGTTGTTCTTGTGGTTTATTTTATTAAATTTTTTTCCTTTTCTTTTCCTACTTATTTTAATGGATGACATCCTAAGCCTCCCTGGCCTGTGCTTACATCAGGTGTGTCCAAGTGGGGCAGCATTCCTGTCCCCCAGACTTCAGGGTTTTTGTTTGGGTCTAGCATAGAACCTTCCCATAGAGCTGGGCAAGGGTCCACCTTCAGAGTTTTTTTTAACCCTCTTTAGAGTCTGCAGAAATGTTTTACAAAGGATCAGGTCTGCCTTTAGTTGTACTTTATTTTGGTCTTTCCCTCTCCTTAAGAATCGGTTCTATGAGGAAAGTCAGAAACTGTGTGTGCGCACGCGCGCGCATGTGTTGCACTCAGGCCAGCTCCATGCCTGTGTGAGGCATCCCATGTGTTCACACTGTCTGCGTGGAGACACGGGACACTTCAGCCCCAGCCGTGGTTTTCCTATCCATGCAATTAGGGACTTAATTTAAAATCCTTGTTTTGTAGGGCTGCCTTCTTCAAACACACTGCTACCACATTCTAATAAAGGCTCATTTAACCCCCTCTCATGCTGTGTGAATATTGGTGTTTAGAAAACATTTCTGACACCTAGTTTTGCAAAACGTTTTAATTTGTTATGTACAGCTTTTCAGTTCTCGTTGATTTTGTTTTGAGTGCATAAGATAGATGGGCTGAAGGTGGGGAGGGCAGGGGAGGCTTTCATTCCACGATCCAGGGACTTGGGGGAAGGAGGGAAATTGATGTTCAGGAGGTGCGGGGAGGGTGTGTTTCTACACCAAAAAAATCAAGAGTATGCAAACATTTCTATTCCTTGAATTTTTCTGTGTGCCTGGCAAATAAACACCTGTCTTATACTAGCCTGAACTGTTAGCCCTCTCTGTTCAACAACCTGGCCAGATTGTCAGTTTGAGATTGTCACCTCTTCCCCGTCAGACCTCACTTCTATGCAGTGACAGATCAGGTGTGACATGCCAGAATCTCCCCCTTCTGCTCAGGAACCACCACTCTGGCAGGACGACTCCTCTCAGCCTTGGGGCTGTGAACAGGTCTATGAGCCTTGGGCTTGGCTCTGCCCCTCTGGCCCATCAGGGACCACTTACTGTGACGAAAATCTCGCTTTTCTTTAAAGGGCAAGAGCATGAGATGCCTTAATCTTCAGTTCTTAAAACTCCTTTCCCTTTTCTTGTTAGTTTACCCTTTTTGGTGTAATTACCTTCCTCAAATGGGTGGTTGTGATAGAATTTGTGATGTTACCGAAAGCGTTATTAAATACCTCGTGTGTGGGGTTTGGACATCCTAGGAAAGGGCTATTAATGTTAGGGTGTTCTAACAGCAAAACGTCACACACACCCAAAAAAAAAGCTGGTCTCAGTGCTGGGATCCTTGTCCTGACAGCCTCCAGGCTGAGGGGATCTGGCTCCCTTTGCAATGAGAATGTCCCAAACAGTGATTGTAACATCCCCAGTAAAATGTCACAATCCCATGATGGCAAGTGGAAACTGCAAAAGGTCAGCCACTTTGTGTGTGTGATAGCGGGGAGAAGGGGGAAATCATAGCTCAACAGTCACTTCTCCCATTGAGGGGGAGGCCGGTTTGAAGTTGTGTGTGCACACAGATAGACTCGTGTCCACTTGGAGCCACCCAGTGTCCTGTAATGTCTGGACTCTCACTTTTGACCAGTTCAAGGGTGGCCCTACTGGGGTGGCCTTTGGTCCTATCTGTTCAAGACCTTTATGAAGCAGTAGTTCACCCCAGTGCAGAGGGAATGAGGCAACAGCACAGCCTTGCTGCATCTCACAGCTCCTGTGCCTCACCCACAAGTGCTGTGGAGGGAGAGACGTGGAGTTTTTTTATGTAAATGTTTTCATCACAGGGGTGTAAGTAATGTAACAGACACCCTGCTGCTTCACCATAGGGCTTTTCTCTGATGCCGAGTTATGCTGCATATGACCTTTGCTTAAAGGACTTGGACTGAACTTTTCTAAAAAGAACAGTTTTATAATGCTTAACAAAAGTGTAATAGACGTTTACACTAGTGCAGGGTATATGGGAGGGTTATTTTCCGGGGGGAGGGTTGTCACTTGTATTTATTGTGACTCTAAATTTTTGATAATAAATGTAAAAAAATGTTTGCCATCAAACTGGAATAGAAGTTCAATAGAGGCTGGAATCAATGGCTATACACCATGTCACGGGGAGACTTTTAGAATCGGAAGGACAATAAAGAAATGGATAATGTGTCGACTATTTTTCTTTTGTCCCCTCTGCCCTGGTTTGGGGCAGATTGGAGGGGATGGCAGGGTGACCAAACAGGGAGGCAAAGGATGAGACACTTGATTCTTGAGCTTCTTTGAACTTCACTTCTCACAGGACGAAAGCCCCTGTCCCATCCCCAATCTGGGTGCTGTTAATTTAGCCTCCATTTCCTCCAGAATCCATACGGTTGAGGGAGGGGTGAGAATCCAGTGGGTTGTGCCCATCGGGGTGGCTCATAGCCAAGAAAGCATCTGCCCCAGAATGGCAGGTTTTTCCAGAGTGCTTTTCAGACTTGGGCATGGCATATGCTGTAGGGTGTTCTAGATACAGTTTCTAAGCATAGCCACTAGGTTGGATTTAAAACAATACCTTGTAAAAACTTCTTTTCAGGGGCCTCCCTAGTGGCGCAGGGATTAAAGAGCCCTATCAAGCTATTGCCAGTCACTGCAGCATGATTCCCTGGCTGGCCAGGCAGGTGACCCACATGACACAACAGATCTCTCCTGTCTCCCCTACTGCTCCCCTCAGCAGTATTTCAGTAGATCTGCCGGTTATGCTCCCCACTCTGGTGAAACCTCTCACCCCACTCCACCCCCTGCACCTGTGGCCTACACCCCAGCTCTTGTATGCATAAAAAATAAAAAAAAAACACCTTGCTGCTGTTCCCCTTAGCAGTGTATTTCAATAGATCCCCTTTTTTCTGTTTAAAAAAAAAAAAAAAAAAAAAACTTGTTTTCTGATGTTGACAAACTTTCAAGTTTGATTCATAAGGTGAAACATGATCACTTTGATGGATTCCAATGTGCCTAAACTATGACCCTGTCTTGAGTGCTTACATGATTCTGCTGTTGATAGTTTTTTGAGCTGAGGCTTCCCTGTCTCTGACCCGGGGGCTTATGACCCTCCTACAGCCACAGCCAATTTGCAACTTGCAAAAGGCACAGAGGTGGTAGGAGACATGATAAATTAACTCCCAAGTGTGTCCCACTCCACCTGTGGCTTCCTGACAGGTGCCCCGTGCCCCAATACAGGCCGAAAGTACACTTAAGTGGTGCTCTCTCATAGGCTCTGCTGGATCAGGTACAGGCTCTTCAAAAGTCCAGGGGTGAGCCTCAGGCAGCTTTTTACTGAACAAATCGGGCACTAGCACTTGTCGGGACTTACCCACTCTGAACTGAGTTGTGACCATGTGGGAGAAGTAGGCCCTGTTCACACATTCTCCTCCACGGAGAGAAAAAACGCCTGTGCCACACTGCAGGTGCTGAGATCACACCTGTGACAAGGCAAGGGGGAAAGAGCTGGTTGGTAGTGAGAACTTGACCTTTTAGGCCAAGTGTTGAATGGAGAGAAAATGGGGAGTGCAAAGACTCAAGGTGAGGCCAAGTGCAAGGCCGAGGACAAGGAGGTCTTCGAGCTTTGATAAAAGGGTGAGGATGTGGATTTTCATCTAAGTGCAGTGAATGCTCAAGAAAGCAGGCCACAGGCCTCCAGTGAGCTACATATAGCCCTCCCTAGCAACTTTGACAAGGGGTTCTTGTCCCCATTTTCCAGTTGGGCAACCCAAGGCAAAGTCCAGGTAAGGAAAGGTGTCCTGGTGAGGGGTTAAATGTTTTGTCTCAGCTCTGAAGTTAATCAGCCAGAAACAGAGGCAAGGCCTCAGTTTCTTCAACTGCAAAATAAGGGGAGTCAGGGAAGCTGACACTTAATCCCCAGGGCATCTAAGAATCAAGGAAGGTAAGCAGGGGTGGGGCACACTCAGAATCACAAAGTGGCTGCGCCCATGGGACTAAGATGGGGCAGGTAGGGTTAAGACTTAAGGAGAAGTTTACCATCCAAATGGCAGCCACTGTCAGCAAACCCAGTAACTCCTTCCCAGGCAAAATAACTTGCATACAGGCATATGAAAAAATGTTCAACATCACTTGTAATCAGGGAAATGCAAATCAAAACTACCATGAGATACCATCTTACACCAGTGAGAATGGCACATATTAAAAAAACTAGCAACAACAAATGTTGGCGAGGTTGTGGAGAAAAAGGAACTCTCCTGCACTGTTGGTGGGAGTGCAAACTGGTCCATCCACTATGGAGAGCTGTGTGGAGATTTCTGGACCTACTAAACATAGAGCTTCCATATGATCCAGCAATTCCACTCCTAGGTATTTACCCAAAGGACACAGAAACATCAATTCCAAAGAGCACCTGCACCCCTATGTTTATAGCAGCACTGTTTACAATAGCTAAGCTTTGGAAACAGCCCGAATGCCCAAAAATAGATGACTGGATCAAGAAGATGTGATACATATATACCATGGAATATTACTCAGCATTCAAAAAAGATAAACACATGCAATTTGCAGCAACATGGATGGTGCTGGAAGGGATCATGCTCAGCGAAATAAGCCAGAAAGAAAAAGAAAAATACCAGATGGTCTCACTCATAGCAGGAATTCAGAAAACCTAAATAAGGGACCAGGAAAATGAATAACCATAAGAAAGTGAAAATCAAAATCAACAAAAAACTATGAACCAGAGACATTCTATGGGGGGGGGGTGGAGGACAGGCAGGGGAGGGATTGGGGTCAAAATAAGGGAGTTGCAATTGTACGCAATTTTATTTTATAAAAATAAAATTTATTTAAAAAAAAAATAACTTGCATACTCCTCTAGGTCTTGTGGGGACCCCAATGCAGACCCATACCTTTTCCTCTTCATTGCAGTCACAGGGACTTCTGAGGGTATTCAAACCCACCACCTCCCTCCTGTCCAGTCTCACTGCCGGTTGATTCCTTCACGACATCTCAAATATCCCTGCTTTAGACCACCTCACACAAACACACCCACATTCAGCACTACTTACAATAATTTTATTTCACTTGCTCCTCGCTGAGGCACGGATAAGCCAAAACTTTTTTTGCTGAGTCCAAAGCCTGGCAGGAGCTCAAGAAATGAAGGAATCAAGAGGACCAAAGGAACCGGCTGGTCTGGCAGACTCATGACCCAACCTTGACTCCCCCTTACTGAGGAAAGCTGATGCCGCTTCCCCAACCCCAGGGTTCAAATTTTGGCTATATTTTTAGGTCCCACTCCCTCATTGACGAACCTCCTACTGTAACAGGGTGGTCCCCAGGAAAGGGGGAGGTTCCAGGTTCCCTGCCCCACCCAAGGAAGGGTGGAGCTGAGCAGGAAGAGGAGAAGCTGCAGAAGAGACTGAGGAAGGAGCAGGATGGAGCCAGGAGACCTGGAGGAGGCGCATGGAGCCTAGAGACACATGAAGAAACTGCGCTTGTCTTTTGGTCATGGACTGGGTGACACAGATGTGGGTGAGACCCATGGGGAGGTGACAATGGCAGCTTTTATCTTGATGTTGATTTTGCTCCTTTCCTTCCGGGCTTGTCTGGTTGTTTCTGGCCCTTTTCTGTGGGTCCCCACTGGAAGATGCTTTAGACTTGTGGCAGGCTTTGGGGCCTTGCTCTGGGCCAGTCCCATTTGGATGGACTTTTACCCACGAGGGGATGGGTAACTTTGGGTGCTTCATTTAGAAACTAGACTCTGCCTTACCTGTATTGTTTCCTAGTTTTATTAAAGTTCCTTCCCCTTAAAGTCTCCTATGTTTTCTGTTGATGCGGCGGATGGCAGAACCCATTTAGAATAGGCAGGTTTGCGGGGTTTGGGCTGCCCCTCTCCCTGTCCTATAACAGTACCTAGAGACAGAATCTCGCCGTTCTGCGCTTACACCCCCGAGAGAGCTTGGGGTCCAAGAGTCCAGCACCTCCACTCCGAAGACCGGGGTGTGCCACCTGGGGATGCCCCCAAGGGTGGCATTCTCCCAGCCAACTTTTGAGACTTCAATGCGGTACTCCGCAAACCTTTAAAACTTCCCCGGCAGCGCCCCCTCCCTCCCTGCTCTGTAAAAGGGGTTCATTGCTAGAGCCAGGTGCGAGGAAGAGCAAGTTTATTGCCAGTTCCACTGGGGGCAGCGCCCGGAGCAAGCCAAGCCCCAAGGAAAGCGCAACCAGCGGGGGACTGGAACCACATGGCCGCTCGTTCCGCGCAGGCGCAATGCTGCGTCTCCTCTCGTTCCGCCCCCTCCCGGGGCCTTCTCGCGGGGGAACCGAGGACGTCCACGCGCCCTCCTGCTCTCGGCGTCGTGGAGCAGGAGCTAGAATCCACGCTGGGGTAATAGTGACCCCCCGCGGGGATAGAGAAGTGGGGGAAGGGGAGAGGGAAGGGCGCATGCGCACTGGCGCCCGGCGGCTTAGGGAGACCCCCGCAGACACGCCTCCGGAGCGGGCGCCGCGCGTGCGCAGTGCTCCGAGCGTGGGACGTTGGGGAAATGGCGGGAGCCCCGGCAGCTAGCCGGAGTCCCCCGAGCGCAGCCAGCCGTTGCGCGCAACCTGGCCGGCAGAGGGCCTGGCTGACGGGCTGAACTGCAGCAGCTCAGCGATCAGGGCTTTGCAGCGCTCGGACAGCTCGAGGCCGTCGGGGTAGAGAACGCCGCGCTTCTGGCGGCGTGGCAGACCGGCGATGTCCGAGTCGTCGAAGGGCATGCACCCGGTGACCATGACGTAGAGCACTACACCCAGGCTCCATACGTCGTACTTCTTGGGGTCGTAGGGGATGCCCAGGAGGACCTCGGGCGACGCGTAGGCCGCTGAGCCACAGTAGGTGGTGCTCAGATCAGGGTAGCCGTGAGCCTGGCGGCCGAAGCCAAAGTCGGTGAGCTTGACGCGGCGCTCGTCGGGGCTCAGCAGCACGTTTTCGCACTTGAGGTCGCGGTGCACCAGGTGGTGGTCGTGCAGGTAGCGCACTGCGCCGGCGATCTGGGCGAAGAGGTCCCGCGCCTGCCCACCGGGAATACGTCCATTACGCTGCACCGCCTGTAGCAGGTCAGTGGCGGCTGCCTCCATCACGATGTACAGCTTCCCGTTGCACACCTCGATGAATTCGAAGACGTGCACAATGTGTGGGTGCCGCACGCCCCGCAGGATGGACAGCTCGCGTGGCAGGAACTTATTGACAAAGTCGGGTGGTGCACGCCGCCTGTCCACCACCTTGATCGCCACCGTGCCTTTGTACTTCTTGGACGTGGCCACCTTCACCTTGGAGTAACTGCCCTCGCCTATGGTGCGGCCCAGCTTATAGCCGAGTTCGCTTAGAAGTTTGTCGCCCGACATGGTGGCGCCTGGGGTGCGCGGGGAGTAGGAGGCGGCTGCTGTCGGGGGGCGGCCGGACTCCGATCTCGGGCCTAACCCATGGTGCTTGGCACCTGCACACCCGCACCCCCATGTGTCCACTCCCCAAGACCCCACTGCCGCGGTACCTTTTATTACCCAGGTAACAATTTCTGCCTTGTGAAGTGACTGCCGGCGTCACCCTGTCTCGGGGTGGGGCCCCCCCAGACCCCACCCTCGGGGCCCCCAAGGTCCTCGGGCTTTATGACTCATAGTCATTTTGAACGGTCAAGTTCCTGATGAGAGGCCACTTGCGAGGAGTCCCGACTACCATAGGGGAGCGGAATCCATGCCTAGGATTAGAATGGGGTGCCGCGTGAGTACGAAACTGAGCGGCAACTGCCCCCAACCTCGTGCACCCAGCCCTGATCTTGTGGACCCCAGAACTGTCCGCAGAGCCCCCTGAGGGGGAGAATACGGGAAAGGGACTCGACTCAGTGACCTGGCTCCCTCAAAGAGTTTGGGGTTTCTGTCCACCATGTGCATCGCTCCAGTTGTAAAGTAACCTGGAGATAGTTTAGGGTACCGGCCAGAGCACCCCAACGGGCTCCAGGTGTTACACCTGATGTGAACAGAAACAAGACCTCGGTAGCTGCCGGGCGGCACAGTCGCCCCACGTTCCGCGGCTTGCGGTCCCTGCATCAGCACGCAGGCGTTCCCTAGCCTCGTTCCGGACTTTCGCGACAGCTTCCGCCACATTCATCATGGCGGCGCCCTCCGTTACGTAACTTCCGCCCGCGAGCGGAACTGCAAGGTTCTGCGAACATGGCGGCGTCGAAGGTGAAGCAGGACATGCCCCCGCCGGGGGGTTACGGCCCCATCGACTACAAGCGGAACCTTCCGCGTCGGGGACTGTCGGGTCAGTGTCACCCTGTGCCTTGGGCTCAGGATCTGGGACTGCGGGACGCTGCGCCGCTTGTGGGGGTGGCTGGCGGGCCTGTTTCCCTTGCAGTGAGACGAGAGGCAGATCTAGGGGTCCCTGATGGCTTCCTTATGACAGCGACAACTTTGGTTTGTCTAGCGCTTCCTTAGCTCTTGGCCTCCTGGCAACTGCCCAGTAGGTCGACTCCGTTAATAATACCCATTTACAGCTGGTTAGGCAGATTTGTGCAGCCCGTGCCCCTAGCCCTAGGCCACACTCCCGCGTCACTGGCTTCACTCGTGGGAAAGCTGAGACTCGAGAGAAGCTGACCTCCTCCTGGGCGTCCCGGACCATAACTGGGGCGGAAGCCGGCGACACTGAAGGGATTTAAAAGGTATTCGGTTCTGTGGTTCCTCGCTGTTGCTCCATCCTCAACCCCAAAGGATGCCCCAGAAATATGTATCATTAAGTTGTTTGTATTACTGAGTTCAAAACATACAATTTTGAAAGAAAACAAAAAGTACTCATGTTTTGCATCCAAAATATACGAGTTCAGGTGAATATGTTTGTCATAACTCATCAAAGTTTACAGTAAAAACTTGTGCATGTTACATAAATTATGCTTCAAAAGACAACAACAAAAAAATCATGGGCATGGTAAAAATTGTAATAGTTCAAACAGTGGAAAAGTTAATGTCAGGTGAGAACTCAAGTCCTCCACTGCCCTTTTTTTTGTGTTTCAGAACAGAGATTGGCAAACTTCTTCTATAAAGGAGCAGATAAATATTTAGGACTTGTGGCACAGATGGTTTCTGTCCACTGCTACTGCTTCTTTTTACACTGTTTGCAAATATAAAAGTGTTTTCAGCTGGAGAGCCTTACAAAACCAAGGTACAGGCCAAATTTAGCACCATGTGGGCAACATGCTGTTCAAATTTTAGAACACCATGAAAGAATATAATGGGATCTGCCTCCATTTCTTTTCCAAGGTATTATTGTATCTCAGTATCCATATAGTGTATTTGCATATAGCTTATGCACATCCTTTATATACTTTAAGTCATCTCTAGATAATTTACAATACCTAATACAATGTAAATGTTCTATAAATAGTTGTTAGACTCTGTTGTTTAGGTATTAGTGACAAAGAAAAAGGCTTGCTTGTTCAGGACAGACATAGTCACCATAGAGTACATGTTCTTAAGTTGTGATTGCTTGAATCCACTGAGGCTATATAGCTTGCTGACAGGGAAGCCTGACTGTATCACTTAACACCCAGACCAGGGCACCCTTCACGTGTGCCACACATGGTCTATTTACAGGTGTGCATCCATGTGATCAGCACCCAGACCAGGCTGCAGAAGGATCCCACTCCTCAGGCCTCCCTGTGGGTCCCTCATTCAGCATCTCTTTTTCATTTGTACATTATAAACATGACCTTTATCCCAGTCTTCTTCCGGTTTATGACACAGCAGTGCTGCCATCTCCCCTGAATACCACTGCCTGGGATTGGGACTCTGAATCAAACCCTGTACTCTGGCCTTTGTTGAAGCATATACAAACCTGCCCCATCCCCCTCTTCTGGTGGTGTGGTCTTTGTCTCTGTACCTACATTCAGTAACTAGTTGTCAAGTGTGCTTATAGTACTCCACCCTGATGCATCCTGAGTTCACAACCTAGCTGAGGAAACAAACATACCATATCAGGATTTTTTTTTTTTTTTTTTTTTTTTAATAGAGGCATGCTTTTATTTATTTATTTGTTTGTTTGTTTTGTTTATACATGCACTGGGTACAGTCAGAAGCACGGGAGGGTGGGAGAATTCACCAGAGCCAGAGCGGGGAGCAGAGCAGGCAGAAGAACCGAAGTACACTGCTGAGGGGAGCAGCGGGCGGCAGGAGAGGTCTGCGCGCCATGTGGGACCCTCCTCTGGTGGCCGGGGAGCAGCCGGGGATCGAACCGGCGCTGCTGAGGCCGCGGGCAGCTTCGCAACCCAGCGCTCAACCGCTGCGCCACCGGGGAGGCCCCCCATATCAGGATTTTACACTGTGGTAAGAACCTGGAGAAACTTGGGCCTTCTTCAGACCAGGGTAGTCTGGAGAGAGATCTGAGGAGTCCCTAGGTGGTGGGAACAGCAAGGACAGAGGCCCCACTCAACTACCCTGCACCTGCCCTGCTCCTCTGGGCCTCCCTCCAGTTGCTTCTTTTGAGCCATGAGCCCCATGGCTCAGGTTGCCTTTAACCTACACTCACCAAAATTGACTACCTTTTCTGTCACCCAGCTTTGTCCACTCCCTTCTGCACCTACCAGGCAGGCTTTTTTTTGTAGGTCTTCAACATTTTTTTTTAAAAAGATTTATTTATGCATATATAAGAACTGGGGTACAGGCCAGAGGTGTGGAGGTGAGAGGATTCACCAGATACAGTGGGGAGCAGAGCAGGCAGATTGATTGAAATGCACTGCTGAGGGGAGCAGCCGGCGAGTCAGGAGAGGTCTGCTGTGCCATGTAGGTATCTCCTTGGCTGGGATGGAACTTGTGCTGCAGTGGCTGTGGATCTCTTCATAGGTTTGTGTCTTTACTCCTTGCGCCACCAGGGAGGCCCCGGTCTTCAACATTTTTATTGAGAGTCACATAACGTACTAAACAGCTCACACATTTAATGTGTACAAAACACTGATTATTTTTTTTTTTACTCTGTTCACAGTTGTGTGACCATCACTGTGATCTAAATTTAAAACATTTGGGCCTCCCTGGTTGCGCAGCAGTTGAGTGCTGGGCTGTGAGGCTGCCCGCAGCCTCTGCAGCGCTGGTTCGATTCCCGGGCAATGGCGAGAGACCTACATGGCGCGCAGGCCTCTCCTGCTGCGCCTGCTGCTACCCTTAGCAGTGTGCTTCATCAGTCTGCCTGCTCTGCTCCCCGCTCTGGCTCTGGTGATTTCTCTCACCCTCCCGTGCTTCTGACTGTACCCAGTGCTTGTATAAATAAATAAATAAATCTTTAAAAAAAGGGGGGGGGCGGAATGGAAAAAAAATAAAATAAATTTAAAACACTTTCATCATCTAAAAGGAGACCCCATTTCTATTAGCAGTACGCCCATTCCTTCCCCAGGACTCTGGGTGGAGGGGAGGGAGGAGGAGCCTCCCCCGCATTTGCTTTTTGTCTATGTTTTACCTGTGCTGGATATTTCACATAAATGGAATCACACATTAGGTGACCTTTTGTGTCTGGCTTCTCTCACTCAGGTTTTGTTTTGTTTTTTTAAGATTTATTTTTATTTATGCATACAAGAACTGGGGTATAGGCCAGAGGTGTGGGGCAGTGGGGGGGATTCACCAGAGAGAGTAGGGAGCAGAACAGGAGAATCTGCTGAAATACATTGCTGAAGGGAGCAGTAAGCAAGACAGGAGACGTCTGCTGTGCCATGTGGGTCAGCTCCCTGGCCGGGGATGGAACTCATGCCACAGTGGCTGATGATAGCTTGATAGTGCTGAAACTAACCCCTGCACCATCAAGGAGGTCCTTCTCTCACTCAGTTTTTGAGGTTCCAAGTTTTAGTATGTGTCAGGACTTCCTTTTTATGTCTAAGTAATATTCCAAAGTATGACTAGAACACATTTTATGCATTCATTTACCAGTTGATGGACAGTTGGGTTATTTCCACCTTTTGGCTGTTATTTAACAGTGGTTCTTTGAACATTCCTTTCCATGTTTCTGGTTGACATGGTTTCATTTCTCTTGGGTAAAATTTCACCTGGGAGTGGAATTTGCTGGTTTATATGGTAACTCCACATTTAACGTTTTGAGAAACTGCCAGACTTTTCCAAATTGACTGCACCAGTTTACACTCCTACCTGAAGGTATGGGAGTTCCAGTTTGTCTACATCTGAACACCACTGTTTTCCTTTTTTTTAAATTCTAACCATGCTAGTGGGTGTGAGGTGTATTTCATTATAGTTTTGATTTGCATGTCCTTGGTGACTAATGATGTTGAGTATCATTTCATGTGTCTCTTTGCCATTTGTGTAGCTTCCTTGGAGAAATGTCTGTTCACGTCCTTTATGCATTTTTTGATTGGGTTGGTCATCTTTTCTTTTCTTTATTTTTTTGTGGGACCCTCGCCAGCAGCCAGGGAATGAACCGACGCTGCAGAGGCTGCGGGCAGCCTCTCAGCCCAACGCTCAACCGCTGCGCCACCAGGGGAGGCCTGGTCATCTTTTCATTTTTGAGTTTTAAGAGGTCTTCATATATTTTGAATGCTGTTCCCTTACCAGAGAAATATGATTTATACTGTTATGTTATTTATAGAGACACATGATTTATATATTTAATGTACATATTAAACATATATCAGATACATGTTTGTACTGAGCTGAAATTTAGCTGATTGGTGGTGTCATTTGCACGGCAAAAGTTTTAAATTTAGTTCATCTTTTTTTTTTTTCTTTTGTCTTTCATGCTTCTGGTGTCGTATCTAAAAAACCGTTGCCTCATCCAAGGTCTCAGAAACTCACTCCTCTGTGTCCTAAGGATTTTATTGTTTTAGCTCTTACATTGAGGTCTTTTATCCATTTGAGTTAACTTTTGTGTTTGGGGGAAGGAGGGAGCACACTTTATTCTCTTGCATGTGGCTATCCAGTTGTCCGATTTGCTGAAAAGACTGTTCTTTCACCATTGAATTGTCTTGGCACCCTTGTCCAAAATCAATTGACCATAAATGTTAGGGTTTATTTCTGGAATCTCAGCTCTGTTCCATCAATGTAAGTATCTAGCCTTATGACAGTGCATCGCTATCTTGTACACACAGCTGTGGATGGTGAAGTTTAGTCCTCCAACTTTGTTCTGTTTCAGAATTGTTTTGGCTATTCTGGTCCCTTGCATTTCCTATGAATTTTACCATCTGCTTGTCAATTTCTGCAGGGCTGATGAGGGAAAGGTTGCGATTCTGGTGAGGGAGGGGGTAGGTTGGGATTCTAATGGGGGAGGTTGGGATTGATGGGAGGGGAAATCAGGACCTGATGAGGACTGTATTGATTCTGTACCTCAGTTTGGGAGTGCTGCTGTCTGAACAATGTTAAGTTTCAAGCCATGAACACAATATGTGTTTCCATTTATGTAGATCTCCTTATACATGATCAAATACCTTTCTGGCATTATCCCTGCTGGCTTCCACCACCTGACTGGCAGTTTCCAAGGCACACACACACCCCTGAGGGCCTTGACCTTCCCATCCTTAAAGGAAAAAAGAGTTAGAGCCTGTATCATTGTAAAGACTGTCTTGGAACTACAGTGGACCCACACATGGGTTCCTGTTGTGAGGGTGAGGGGTCCCCATGGGAAGGCTGGGGCAGTCCAGGTCTGTCCCTTAGGTCTGGGTGAGAAAGGAGGCCTCTGGGCCCCTTTGCTGCTGTTGAAAGCTTGAGGTGGCTCTACTGGAATGCGCTGTCTAGGGAGAAAACATTGGGAGAACAGGGAACTGGCACTCAAGCCTCTGAGCAGACATAAGAATCAGGGTACCTGGGTCTCCCTGGTGGTGCAAAGGGTTAAGACACAACCTGTGAAGCTAACCACAGCTTCTGCAGCACGAGTTCAATCCCTGGCCAGAGAGCTGCCCACATGGCGCAGCAGACCTCTCCTGTCTCGCCCACTGCTCCCCTCAGCAGTGTATTTCAGTCAGTCTGCCTGTTCTGTTCCCCACTCTGTCTCTGGTGAATCCTCTCACCCCCACACCACTGGCCTTTACCCCAGCTCTTGTACGCATAAATAAATAAATCTTAAAAAAAAAAAAAAAGAATCACGGTACCCTCACTTCCCTGCCCCGATACCATGGAAGTGCCTCAATGTAACCTCTCATTTTTAACAGGTTGAATGAACTAGGCAGTCAAAGACAGAGCCAGCTTTTCATTCCTCTCCAGGTCCAGCAGAGGTTCCTGTGCTGGGGCCAAACTGAAGAAGAAAGCTAAGGGCAGGGACCTGGGAAGCCCCTGCCAGTAACGTAGGACCCAGATTCTCAGAGCCCTGACACTGCCCTTCTGCCTACTCGGGATTACCTGGAAGTGGAACTGTCCCAGCAATCACAAGGCCTGTGCAGAGAAGAAATTGGAAAGATGAGGGCCTCCGGGCAAGCCAGCCCCAGTCAAGCCTCAGGAGATAGGGCATCCTTGAAGACCCCAGCAGGCCCCCAGCCTGTCAGTCAGGATTACAGTGGCAGAGCCTGCTGCTGCTCAGTAAATATTCATGGCAGCCTGTCCCCCTGGGTCTGGGTAAGAGGTTTCACCCCACTATGCTGAGAGGCAGCAACACCCTGGGTGCTCAGGGGTGACTGGGCATCTCTGCAGGGCACTGCCTGTCTCTGGCAGCCCTGTCCAGCTCCCTGTGGGTAGCACACAGAGAGAGCTAACCCAGGCATCCGGGAGCCTCTGGAGCGGGACACTGGCCTTCCCCATGGGGACCGGCCCGCTGACTCCAAACATAAACATAGAGACCCTTGGGCCCTCCCGCAGTCATTGCCTACCAGTACCTTCAGAAGCCCCAGCATGGGGGCAGAAGTGAGAGAAAAGCTGAGGCAGCCTGCTGTCTCTGCTTGCAGAGTGGGTGAACAGGACAGAGCGGTCAGCAACTGCTGAGGAGCAGGTCTGAGGGTGGGGGCCAGTGGGCATGCAGAGAGACAAAAAAGTATTCTGAAGAAACGGGTGTCCGTGATGGTACTGGCATCTGTGAGTAGGGTAGAGGAGGTATGAGGGGTTTCATTCATGCTGCTGGAGAATTTACAGTGATTGGCTCCTGCTTCACAAGAAGAAAGGGCTGCTTTTCCCCTGTGTGCTGAGCCTGTGGCCCTCTCCCCACAGGCTACAGCATGTTTGCTGTGGGCATCGGGACTTTGCTCTTCGGGTACTGGAGCATGGTGAAGTGGAACCGGGAACGCAGGTAGGACCCCAGCCTGAGGGGAAGGAGATACATAGGGCCCTGCCATCCCTTAGACCCTGAATATGTGGCACTGACCCAGTAGGTCCACACCTGGCCTTTACCCTCAAGAAATGAGCAGTAAACCTGGGGGCTAGTTCCCTGCATGTGGGGGTAGGGAGCGGGGAAGGCTGGAAGTGTTCTCTTAGTGTTGTCTTGTGGGTCATGAGCAGACAGCAAGTTAACAAGGTCTAGAGGCAGTCCATGTGAGACAGTGGCCTTTCTGTCCATCAAGGCTTGCAGTGGTTTTGGTGTTGACTTAGCTTCCTCAATACAGCCAGATACCCTACCAGGTGGTCCTCATTGCATTCCCCCTTGCCTCCCCCCAACACACACACAAACACACTTTGGGCCCCACCACCCTTGTTCTGCCTTTAGCACCCCTTTGAATTCTCTTACTTGTGCCTCCATCCCCCACACCACTACCACCATAAGGCAGGGAATTCTGGTGATTAGGACTGGAGCAGGCCCTGCAAGTGAAGGCTGCTGGACACAGATGATGAACTCAGGAGTGCCTGACTTGAGGCCTCCAGTTTCCCAGGATGCACCACCTTGGGGAGATGCACACAGCCACTACCCCAGTGTGTGACTATGGTGGGGAGTGGTTTGGAGGGATTGCTACCCTGGGCCTGAGGAGGGGGTAGGTGAGTAGGGAGGGCATGCGGATCTGGGGAGGGAACTGAATTTCAGACCCTTCCCTCGGATACTGTGAGATATTCCCGATGATACGAGAACAGGGCCAGAGGGCCACATCACTGGGTGTGCAGGCTCCGCCTGCCCATTCGATACCCCACAGTTATTTTGAGACAATTGGACATGGTTTTGTAAGGCCCAGAGTCCTGTGATGAACTTCCCCCACACCACAATTATCAGGCCTGGGCTATTTTGGGGATTTAAAAAAAAAATTTTATTGAAAAGAAAGTGTGAAGCCAGCAGTCTTGTGGACCAAAGCCTGCATCAGCTACCCTCCCTTCACCCTCATCTTGGGCCCCTGTGGGCAGATTCCACTGCCCAAGCCCTGTATCCAAAGGCTTGACTCTTTCCTCAACCCTTTCCACCTATTACCCTGGGTGTCTGGGCCCGTCCACCTTTCCTGTGCATCACCCTGGGTGTCCAGACCCCCTACTTCACCCTGGTCTGATCTGGGTATTGGTTTTGGATTTGCAGGCGCCTGCAGATTGAGGACTTTGAGGCCCGAATTGCGCTGATGCCACTGTTCCAGGCAGAGAAGGACCGGAGGTGGGACTGTCACAACAGTCATGGGGCAGGAGGGGCAGGCGGTCATGGACCTCAGTGCTTTGACCTGACAGCCAAAATGCACAGGACTGCCATCAGCCTTGGAGAGAGCCCCAGCAGAGACCCAAGTGGAAGGGCAGGAGGGGGCATTGGGCTGAGGCACAAGGGTCATTATGTGCAGGTTGGACAGGGGGAGGTAATGGGGGTGGAGCAGAAAGGGATTGGCACCCTTTGGGATGCTGGAGCTTGTTCCCCCACCTCTCCGATTGTCACTGTAGGGTCCTGCAGATGCTCCGGGAGAACCTGGAGGAGGAGGCCGTCATCATGAAGGATGTGCCTGACTGGAAGGTGGGTCCTGGAAGGGAGGGTAGGGGTAGAAAACCCAGAACCCACAGGGGTACTGGGTGTCCATTGTGAGGATGAGGAAGCAATAGCCTGTGATGTACCCACAGTGGCTACCAGACCTGGTGAGGTCCCCTACGCCCTTATAACCATACCGCTGTCCCTGCAGGTGGGCGAGTCCATGTTCCACACAACGCGGTGGGTCACTCCCATAATGGGTGAGCTATACAGCATGCGCCCCAACGATGAGATTGTCAACGCCACCTACGGCTTCATGTGGTACACGTAGCGCCTGCAACCATTGGACGACTGCACCCCCACCCCTCCCTACCAGGAGAGAATAAAGGCTCTAGAGACCACCCACCTGTGTCCCAGGGACTGAGTTACTGGTGTTGGGTGGGGTTGTCACAACCAGCTTGAATGCTCAGTAGAAGATTGAGGTGGGGGGAAGGGGGAAAGGCTCAAACCACCCAGAAGCTGTGGCTGGATTCACCACCTTGGGCCCCCAAACACGCTTGGACCTGCTTGTTGGCAGCCCACCCTTCCCCACTAGGGTCTCCACCAGGGTGTGGAGGTGGGTTGGGAGCCCAGAGAGCTCTGAGGCATAGGGGAGTTGGAGAGGTGGTCCTTGCCCCAAGCTCAGGACCCCGTGGCCCTGTGACCTGCCTTTCACTGTCCCTTCAGCTTTGGTTTCCCTGCCAGCACCTCCCTCGACAGTCAGGTCCCCTCAGCACCAAAGGGTTAAGTCAGCCGCGCCCTCTGACCAATGGATTCGTGCGGCGCCCTCTCAGCGTATTCTGATTGGCTGATACGAGGTGGGCGGAGGGAGGAGTGGGCGCTCCCTGCCCAGGGATGCGCTTAAAAGGCAGCGCGGCTGCCTGCGCACACCCGCTCACCTTGGCCATGAGCGGCTCAGACACCGTGGAGGCGCCGGAGGAGCGGCTCTTCCTCAGGTCAGTTGGGGCCTTTGCTCTTCCTCAGGTCAGTTGGGGCCTCCACAGCAGTTGAAGACGTGGGTGAGAGGGAGCTTGGGGTAATGGGTAGGATGCAGACTTTAGACGGGGAGCAGGGCTTTGGCGGGCATAGATTGGAGGCTGAGACATGGGTGGGGTGGGACCCTTGGGCATGGGCAGGACTCAGTAGAACAGATAGAGGCGTGACTTGGAGAGGAGCCGGGGGAATGGGTTGGGTGGGGGTCCGGCCATCCCAGTCCCACCCCAGATTTCACTGGAGAGACTAAGCCAGTCGGCAAGGCCTGCAAAGCTGCGTTGCTGGGGAAACAGCCTTCATGGCAGGCCCGCCCCTCATGAATTATTCATTAAGCTGTGACTTCACCTACCTTGCCAATCACCCCCAGCCAGGACCCATCTTCTCTATCTGTCCTAGGCATTCCAGAACCCTTGTCCCTAGTTCCCCACCCACCTGGGAAGAACAACTCTTTTTAGCTTAGGTGATCACACCTTCCTGGTGGTCCACCCCTTTTCCGTAGGATACTGAGACCTAGAGAGGGAAGTCAAGCTGGAGCCAGACTTGGACGGATTTTGAACACGCAGCCAGTTGCCAGTGGGTTGATGAATTCTGGGTCTGGATCTGGCAGCTATGGCCTTGTTTTCCACCATGTCCCAAGTGGTCATCCCGTGTCCTCTAACCTCTGACATATAACCCCAAGCAGGACTGTGGACCTCACCACAAACCAGATTCACCCAATAGCCTCTTGTCTGACCAATGTTACCCCCTGTCCACTCAGCTTTTCTCAGGCCAATTACCAACAGTGACTCAGTCTAGAGACCAGGCACACCTAGGCAGGAGGAGGAGAGTGTCCTGGAAGCTGGAGCTGTGACTTCAACTGGTGTGGGGGCTGGTGGGATGCTTTGGAGTGGGTAGGGGAGGAACTAGCAAGCAGAGAGAAGGCAGGGAGATTGCAGACATAATGGGATATGTGTGGGCTTGGTGAGGAATTTGAATATTCTCTTAGTACTGAGGAGCCATGCGAAGGTTGGGAATGGGGTGATATGATCTGCCGTTCAAATTTCAAACCCCCACAGCTTATATTGAGGAATTTGGGGGGCATGAGATTGCTGTAGGCATCATGTGAGCATGATGGGGGACTGGTGGGTAGAGGCATGAAGGTGGAGAGGAGCAGATGGAGCTGAAAGCAGGGAAGATCTGGCATGGGCACTCTGACTGGCCTCAGGGCCTTCCTCAGCCCTCCCATCGTGGAAGGGCCAGGCCCAGGTCCCTTGGAAACTAAGGCATCTCAGCCCTTCTGGGGTCGGCAGACTAATCCTGGTGCCTCACATCTATACTCTATAGGCTGAATTGGGGAGAAGCAAGAGGCACCCTCTCGGTGACCTCCCTCCTCCCAACACCTACCCATGACAGCTCTGCCTGTATCCCTCCCACACAGCTCCCCAGCCAGAGCCACTGCTGCCCTACCTCCTCCCCCTCCTGGGCTCCCAGCCTAGACTACTCTCTGCCAAGGAGTCCCCATTATCACTCTAATCAGTTAGACAGGAAAATAATGTTTCAAGTGGTGGCCAGAGGCCAAAGCTTTGGGGCACAGGAAGAAGAGGAATGGATAGTTTTCCCACTCTACTCCTCCCCCACCCTTCCATGAGGTCAGCAGCTAGAGCTATCACAAGATGGAGGAGGTATGAGCCATACTCCTAAGCTCTCTGATGTTCTTCCCTGGGAGCCGGCCCTGCCTGGGGGCACTCTTCATCTGGCCCCACCATGAGCTTTTCCCCACTTTATCCTTCAACCTCATCCCACATGGACTGCCGACAAAGCCAGGATTGATTCTGGGAGTGATGTCACCTCCCTTCCCTAAGCCTCCATCTCCTCCATCTGTGTATGTCCCCCAGAACTGCCTTCCTGACCCAATTTCTTAGTCTTGTTCACTCTGTTGCAGGCACATGGGTCTCTCATCTATTTCTTGAACACATCAAGCTCATCCCACCACAGGGCCATGGCCCTCGATGTTTTTGCCACCTGGATTACCTCCCATAGTTCTCCAGGCCCCCAGGAAACCTCTTGAATTCCCATCCCTTGGCACTCCTTGTTCCCCACCTACGCCCCTCCTGCTGCCCTGGAAGCAGGAGCTGCAAAATTGGCTGGGAGATTGTGGTTTCCTGCTCAAAGAGGAATCTCAGGATTCACTCCACCAAACCTCTGCCCTCTGTAGGTCTGCCTCTGCCTTGCTTACACCTTGTGTGTGGCCTTATAGACGGACAGTAAAGGTGAGACCTCTGTCCCCACTTCCTGAATGAACCTAGGCAAATCATTTAGCTTGTCCAAATTCTTTCAACTTTCCCGGGCCGGGCCTGGTTCTTTCGTTAGCATTATTGTTATACACACTGTGGGGTCGCTGAGTTGGGGGTAGAGTTCCTGTCTAGGGAAAGCTGGCATCAGCATTAGTCCTGCCCAGCCTCCCCAATCTGAGTTTGGAGCGAGAAACATCTTCAGATGAGCAATGCCTGCTGTCCTGCCATCCCTCGCTGCAGACACAAAATACCTGCCCCTTGGAAGCCCTCAAAACCAAGACCAGCTTGGTCCTGGCACCTGTAAGGGCTCAACACTTGGTTTAGTGCTCTGCAGTCACCACCTTAAAATTCTTAAATATTTTTATTTATGCATACAAGAACTGGGGTGTAAGCCAGAGATGCAGGTATTGTGAGGATTCACCAGAGACAAAAGTAGGGAGCAGAACAAGCAGATCTACTGAAATACACCGCTGAGGGGAGCGGCAGGTGAGACCGGAGAGGTCTGCTGCGCCATGTGGGTCACCTCCCTGGCCAGGGATCAAACTCAGGCCATTGCAGTGATAGCTCTGAGACTTAACCCCTAGGCCACCAGGGAGGCCTAAATTCTTAAAATTTTTTAAACAAGAGACCAAACATTTGCATTTTGCACTGGGCTTCAAAAGATACCCAGCTCGTGGTTCCTTCACATTCATAAAGGAAATGAGGCTCAGAGAGATGAAACAGAAAGTCAGTGCCCAAACCTTACGAGTTGATCCTATCTGGCCATAATTATTTTATCACCTCCCGTGGATAGGTTATCACTGAGGCTCATAGCCGCCTGGATTGAGCCATTAAACTCCTCGGCAGCCTTTCAAACCCAACTGCTTAGGCACCCCCAATCCAGTCTACCCCTCCAGTGACCTGGAGATCGTTCAGTAGTTTGCACTGCCTGAAATACATCTATGACCCCCCATCAAAGTCCTTCATGCCTCATTTCCCTTTGTAGGTTCCACCCCCACCCCTCCTGTACCTAAGTGGGGCCTGGTCTTCCAGAGCCTTGGGGCATTAGAACCAACAAGTGCCACCATGGTCACCAGAGGGCGCCCGCACCTCAGCCTTCTACTCAGACCTCCTGCGACCAGACAGGCTTCTATTCAATGATGTGTGTCACCTGGGGAAACTGAGGGAGGATGCTGGACTTTGGGCTACAACAGCTGCTTAAGGATGGGCTAGGAACGTTGGTAGAACATTTCTGGTTCTGTCTCTAAGCCTTTCGCTGTCTCTGTATTTCTGAGTTATCACTGCCCACTCTATCGCTCAGCACAGCGGAGGCGGCTGCTCTGGAGCGTGAGCTGCTGGAGGACTATCGTTTTGGGCGTCAACAGCTGGTGGAATTGTGTGGTCATGCTAGTGCTGTGGCTGTAACCAAGGTACTTGAATCCTAATCCCTGACCTTGACCCCATCCCATCAGGCAATCCCCTAGCACCAAAGCCTAGTACCTCTGAGTCTAGGCTGGTCCAGTTTGTCTCGCAGATGGAGAAATTGAGACACAGAGAGAATCATCACTTCCAGACCAGGCAGGACCCAAGATCCATAATATCAGAGAGGGTGAGGGCAGAGACAGGGGTCCTCAGAGAAGAGGACATTGACAGGGGATCAGAGACCAAGACCACCACAGACATGCAGACACAGGTCTGAGTTCCTTTTTTTTTTTTTCATTAAGATTTTATTTATTTATTTTTGCATAGAACTGGAGTGTAGGCCAGAGGTATGGAGGCTGAGAGGATTCACCAGAGACAGAGTGGGGAGCAGAGCAGGCAGATCTACTGAAACATAGTGCTGAGGGGAACAGCGGGCAAGAGAGGAGAGGTCTGCTGTGCCATGTGTGGGTTAGCTTCCTGGCTGGGGATCAAACTCAGATGGTTGCAGTGACAGTGCTGCTACTTAACCCCTAGGCCACCAGGGAGGCCCAGGTCTGGGTTCCTTAAGGGACAGAGGATGTGTTCTCCTGCTATGTGACTGCCTGCTTCTGCCACCTCCTGGGTCTTGGGTATGGGGGATAGCAGTTCCCAAAGTCTCAATTACCCCAAGCCATGGGTGGGGAAAATGAGGCCCAATGTTGAGAGGTGGAGAGGAGGAACCTGCACAGGGTCCAGGGTTGGAAACAGAGCTGTGTCTGGCTCCTGGGCAAACCCCCAGCCCTTGAAGTGCCTATAAGAGATGTGTCAGAGAAGCCATGTAGTGCTGGTGCCCTGTTGCCAAACCATGCCATGCCTCAGTTTCCTCCCCTGAAGAAAGATCAATAAACTGACTCCAATTAATAAACACAAACACCTTAGAAAATGCTTGAGAGAGCCAGGGCTCCATCATACAATCCTTTCCCTTTTCCTACATTTTTATTATTACCATTATATACTTTGAAAAATTCATGATCTTTCTTTATGTGGACTCATTTTTCAAACTTAAATTTCCCATTTCCAAATGAAACATATCCTGAGTCAGGTGCCCACAAAAGAAACTGGTGAAAATCAGAGCCTCAAAAGCAAACCCAGTGCAATGTAGTTTTGCCTGGCCATTTGTGACCAACTGTCCAGTTTTGCTCTGAAAGCCCTAGAATCCCCTTGGTCTCAGATAGCTGAACCTTCTCACCCTCCCTGACTTGGTCTTGGTCTTGGGTCTTGGGCTCCAGATGTGACATGGCTGGAGGCGGGGTGGGGGGGGCAGTTGAAAGTGAGTCAGGGTGGGCCTCCTTAGGACCATGCTGAACTTGGAGAGATTTGGAAAGGGAATGAATTTCTCTCTGTGTGGTTAGAGGTGAGTATGGCTGGGTTCTGTGGGCCCTGGAGCCACCCGAGGCTGGGAGAGGCCCCAGGTGTCTGTTCGCTATTAACTTCCCTCTGATGGAGCCAAACAGGCTGGGAGGGGAGAGAGGAGTCACTAGAGAGTCGGGGCAGGCCTGGAACAGAAATCCAGTGCTCATAACTACTGAATTAAAGAGGAGGACACGTACAGGTCCCCAAAGGCAGAGAGTCTGAGAGATAGACTGAGAGGATGAGATGCAGAGAACAAGACAGAGACTGGAGAGATGAAGGGGAGAGACACAGAGTCTGAGATAGAAAGAGGTGAAACAGGCAAATGGAGGGAGAAAGCAGGAGGGCATGGCATGGCAGGTTGGAAAAGTACTCCCACCCTCTGCCCTCCCCAACTTTGGGGCCTCTGGGAGGGGCCAAGGCCTGGAGACATGGGCGGGGAAGGGGCAGCCACTATGGTGGAAAAAAGTGGAAGAATGTCTGCAGCTCAGGCTGAGAATAAACAAACCACTCTCAGAGCGGCAGTAGGAAGCACGTTTTCCTGCTTGGACTTGGCAGAGCCTGAGCCAAGGACTCTGTGTGTCTCCAATGAGGAAAGTGAAGCCCTCAGATGCCCTGCCTCTCCCCCAGAATGCCTCTCCTTCCATCTAATACCTTTGCCTCTTGCCCCAAGCCCTGTTCCTATTGCTACTCTGGGCCTCAGTTTCCTCACCTGGATGAAGAGGAATTCCAGTGCCATGCTTTGCCTTTGCTGTGCCCCTTGCCAGGTGTTCCCCTTGCCTGCTCTCTCCCGGAAGCAGAGGACAGTACTGGTGGTGTGCGGCCCGGAGCAGAATGGGGCTGTGGGACTGGTCTGTGCCCGGCACCTGCGGGTGTTTGTGAGTAGCAAGTACCCCTTCAGCCTCCCAGGGTCACATCCACCCTGTCCCTGCAGAAATTACTTCTTCCTCTTGATACTGTCCTGGGGGACACTGAGGCTGGACAGATCACAGAATATGCCCAGTGCTTGCCAATGGCAGGGTCTGCTGCCTGGTGCTCAGATCTGGGGGCTAAGGGTCAATGGGGAGGATGAAAGGACCTCCAGGTCTGACCCCTTCCTGCCCCCTGCAGGAATACGAACCAACCATCTTCTATCCCACACGCTCACTGGACCCTCTGCACCAGGACCTGACCACCCAGTGTGAGAAGATGGACATCCCCTTCCTTTCCTATCTGCCCACAGAGGTCTGCACTCTTGGCCGCTGGGGAGGGGAGGTGGGGGGCAATGCCCCAAGGCAACTCCTGACCCTGCCTGCCCCCCAGGTCCAGCTCATCAATGATGCCTATGGGCTGGTAGTGGATGCTGTGCTGGGCCCCGGCGTGGAGCTGGGTGAGGTTGGGGGCCCCTGCACACGTGCGCTGGCCACACTCAAGCTGCTGTCCATCCCCCTTGTGAGCCTGGACATTCCCTCAGGCATGCCAGGTGGAGGGGGGCATGTTTGGTCCTGGGGGCTAGGGCGGAGGCTCCCTGTATCCCAGCTTTTGGTGGCCCTATCTGTCTGTCAGCCCTGAACCTTAATGTCCCCAGCATGGATAGATGGTGTATCCTGGGTGAGACTGAGGGACAGGCCCATGCTTGGATAGGAAAAAGGTTGGTGCCCAGGTGACCCCAGGTTCCCTCCCTCCCATGTCCAGTCCTGTGTGCCTGCTGCCCACCCTGGCCCAGTCTCCCGGGCAGACGTGAGCTCACTCAGCAAAGGCCTCGCCCATCCTGGCCGCCGCCCCATGCCTGTTGGAGCCATTAGGCAATGGGCAGATGGAACAAACAGCCGCTGGCCAGCCGGACCCTTCATAGCAGTGGCAAGACTCAGGGATGCCCCTGGGCTTGCAAGACCCCAGGGCCATCCCAGCAGGGTGCCATGGAACTGGGTGGGAGGGCTGATGGACAAGGTGGACTCTCAGGTCCGAGGCTTCTGGCGCACATCCGAATGGATAGCCGAAGACAGAGGGTGGCCCTGTTAGGTCAAAGAGGGCTATTAAGGGTCTCTAGTCTGAGGGTGGAGGCTAGGGTCAGAGAAGGAAGGACTAAAATCAGAGGGAGGAGGCTCAGCTCAGGTCAGAGGCAGGGAAGTAGTCAGGACCCCTAACCTGTGAGTGGAGGCTCATTTGAGAAGAGACTTCAGTCCAGTGAGGGGGTGGGAGGAGGCGGGTCAAGGCAGAACCTAGTCTGACATGAAGGCAAGGGTATCAGTTCAGAGGAAAATCTCTAGCCAGAGGGCGGACAATGGACACTCCAGGTGGGTGGGCAGGGGGGCATATCCTTTCAGAGGCAAGAACCTGGGGCAAGGAGACAGGTCTGACGAGGGAGGCCTGCTTTGGGATGGACGCAGGTCTGTCCTGGTGGAGAGGGGGGTCTAGTCAGAGGGGAGGCAGGTCGGGAGGTTTGGGCGGGGAGTCGCCTTGTTCCAAGCACCGGACTGATGGAAGGGCGCTGTGGGGCAGACCCCGGATCAGAAAGGAGAGTCGTCTGCGTGGGAAAGCGCAGCAGGTGGAATTGAAGTAGTCAGAAGGCAGAGGCCGAGTCAGGTGAAGGAGGACGATCAGCAGGGTGGGAGCAGGGCCAGGAAAATGTGAGGGCAGAGGGGAAGGGAATCACCTCCAAGGAGGGGAAGACACCGGTGGAGGGTGGAGGCGCAGTTCCTGGGGGCGGGGGGGGGGGGGGGGGGAGGAAGGCAGGTGTGACCGAGACTCACGTATCAGAGCCGAAGCCGGGTCTGACCCGGAAGAGGAAGTGCGCGTCGGGGCGCCAGGCCTCCAGTCCGACGGTGACCCCCTCCCGCCCTCCTCCCTCAGGCTGGGACGCGGAGACGGGCAGCGACGCCGAGGACGGGCTCCGGCCCGACGTGCTGGTCTCGCTGGCGGCGCCCAAGCGCTGCGCAGGCCGCTTCTCCGGGCGCCACCACTTCGTGGCGGGTAGGTTCGTGCCCGACGACGTGCGCCGAAAGTTCGCCCTGCGCCTGCCGGGCTACTCGGGCACCGACTGCGTCGCGGCGCTCTGACCGCGCCCGCGCCAATAAACGCCTTCCTCCGCGGCGCCTCCGTGTCCTCTGTCCGCGGGGTGGGCGCCGCGCGCGTGGGCAGCTCTGGAGGGACTTCCCGCCGTCTGGAGGGCGGAGGACGGAGGAGAGACGGAGCGGGAGACGCAGCCCGCTCGGTGGCCGGAAGCCGGTCGTCGGAAGAGAGACTGGAGAGAGGATTTCCAGCCTTCGGGCAGCTTCGGGCTCGACTCCAAGAGGCTCTCCCTGCAGGCAGCCGGAGGAGGACGGAGGGTGGGCGGCGAGAGGGACTCGCGGCCGGCCGCGGGGACGCGGGGCAGCCTGGGGGCGGAGGCACGAGCGGACGCACGCAGGGGGGCGACCCGCGGTGGTTGCCAGAGCCCCGGAGTCACCCGGGGGCAGGGGGCGTGGCCGGCGGGGCGTGGCCTGTCGTGGGGTCCCGCCCACACCCTCTGCCGGCGGCGGCTAAACCAGCCCGAGTCCAACCCCAGCTCACTTGTGGAGCCAGGAATTTCCCTCCGATGCTCAGAACCGGCCATGGCATCACCGCCGCTACTGCTCTGCTTCTGTATCGCCGCTGCGCAGCTGGCGGGGGCCCTAGGTGAGGCGCCCCAGACCCCAGCCCAGCCCCGTAGGCGCCCTAGTGTGGGGCAGCAGCTTGGCTTGCAGCCCGGCCTGGGGAGAGAACCCAGGGACCTCCTGATCCCTTCCCCTGGCTGGCCTGGGGGTGGGGTGAGGGGAGATTGACCCTGGGGTGGGGAGGGGTCATCCTCTACTCTCTGCCCTCCTGGAAGATAGGCTAGGGGCACCCGAAACGTAGATTTGAACATTAGGTGCCTTCGGGTTCCCGGGGACTGCGGGGTGCTCTCTGAACCCCAGTGTAAGGATCCTGAAGCATCGTTCTGCTCCTGGTGAAGAGGACAGAGCCACTGCCTCCCAATTCCCCCTCCCACACACACACCACTCAGAAAAGAAATTTCTAGCTCTGATAAACTCAGTGGGGCAGGGAACTGGGCCCATTTCTCAGATGAAGTGATTGAGGCCCCAAGAGGGAAGGGGCTTATTGGAGGCCATCAGCCAACCCAACTATCTCAGACAACTTCAGGCCAGAGAATGCAACTTAGATTCTGAGGGCTCCTTCCTACTGACAGCTTGGGTCTGGCATGCAGGGATGGAAGGTACTGAGGGATGGATTTCCAACCCCCCAAATGCATGAGTGGGAAGGCCGCCCAACCTGGAGGTAGAGGGACAGCTGGCTGAACTCTCAACTGATGAACACACCTAGGAGGAAAAATGGATCTGGGGGAGAGGGGACAGAACAAACAGGGTCTCCCCCAGACCATTGTATGGGGGCTGTGTCAGAAGGAAAGATGGCGTTTTGGGAAACTGAGATGGGGAGATCATGGGAAGGCTTCCTGGAGGAGGAAGCACCATAAAGTAGTTGGGTTTAGCTTCTCATACCCTCAGTTTTCTCCTCTGTGAAATGGGGGTGATTGTACAGCATTTTGCATAAAAGGAATTCACAATGGCCCCAATAGTGTGCTCCCTGCCCCCCCCACTCCTTCCTAAGGCTTCACCACCACTGAGGAGCCCACAGCACCCTCGTCATGGGGCCTTGAAGGTCCAACACTCGCTCCTGGCCAGCCCTCACCAGCCCTGGAGGACTGGGAAGGTGAGTCAGCCTGTGACTGAGTCCTGGCTCTCCTGTGGACTCACTGTGTGAGCTCTGGCTGGTGGGGTCACACGAGGAGAGGATACAAGTTAGGTGAAGAGGCAGAATCCCTGGACATGGTAATTCCTAGAAGTGGTACCCAGGTGGTCTACGTTTTAGGAGCAGGAAGGTGAAAGTCTAAGCTGTGTGCCAAGAAGGAATCTGGGGTAGGGTGGGATGGTGGGCCATCCCAGGTAAGGCCTGCCCAGGTAAGGCAAGGAACCAGGCATTCTGGAACCTGGGTCTCCAGTTTCTTAGGTCTGGAGTTAGGACTGGAGGGACCCTGGGGGTTGACAGAAGCAGATGACCTGTGGGAAAGTCAGGCTCTTTCTCCAGTTGCTTCTGTGAAGCAGAGATTGCCCCATGTAAACGTTTTAAGGTTCCAGATGGTGCTCACCAGAAGCTGCCAGGCCTGGAAAGACACAGCTAGGGTTGGTCACAGGTGGCTCCCTCCTGCTGCCTCACTCCTGTGGGTTCTGAATTCTGAGGGTGGGGACTGCTGAGAAGAGAAGAGATCTCAGCACCCACCAATGGGTCAGCTAATACATTAGGCACTAAAACGGGGCATGGGGGTGGAATGGAGTGGTCAGACCCCCTGATCCCTTTACAGCTCCTGCTGCTCTGGCGGGTTCTGGGCAGCCCGCGAGCTCTAGGGGCTAGGGGAGGACCTCCTCAGGCACCCGAGGGTGGGCAGGCTGCAGCCTCATCGCTGCACGCTGTGATGGGCCTGACCCAGTGGCCCGGGTCCCAGAGCGTTGCTGTGCTCGCAGAGGCCAGCGAGTGGACGTCCTGGTTCAACGTGGACCACCCGGGCGGCGACGGCGACTTCGAGAGCTTGGCCGCCATCCGTTTCTATTACGGGCCGGCCCGCGTATGCCCCCGGCCGCTGGCTCTGGAGGCGCGCACCACCGATTGGGCCCTGCCGTCCGCGGTCGGCGAGCGCGTGCACTTGAACCCCACGCGCGGCTTCTGGTGCCTCAACCGCGAGCAGCCGCGCGGCCGCCGGTGCTCCAACTACCACGTGCGCTTCCGATGCCCGCTTGGTAAGGGAGGGCGAGAGGCTCGGACCCGGGCATGGGCGGGGCCGGGGTAGGCGGTGTCGAGATAAATTGGGGAGGGGGGAATGGAACCAGCGGGTGAGGTCGTGGGTGCGTGCGGCAAGAATGGGGCCCTTTGGGGAGTGGTCAGGGTCTGGCGGACCTGGACGACGGAATGAAGAGGCGGGACCCTTTAGGATCTAACCCACAGAGAAGCTAGACCAGATAGGGCCCGTGCTTTGAAAGGTAGGGTCGGGGAAACAGCTGGTGGGGGGGGGGCAGAAAAAGGCCCTGAAAATCTCCCTGTCGCTGCCTTCATTTGTGCATCTGTATCAGCTCCGTTCTGTGGAGTGTTTTGAGCCCAACAGTGGACGGGACGCAGGGAGAACAGTGCGGCTAACCTCGGGGAGCGTTATGGGGGGCGGCGGTGGGACACTTCGCTGCACCGTCCACAGGTGCGCCTGGGGAGCACTGAGGTGGCCGGTGGGCAGGACCTCTCCTGAGTTCTGCCCTTTGCACGCGCGGGGGCTTTCCCCAGTCTCACCTTTCAGGAGGCACAGCCCCGGGGGTGGATGGCGCGTAACCCTCCCTCGCTCCCTCCCTCCCTCCTCGCAGAGGCCGCTTGGAGCACCTGGGGCCCATGGGGTCCCTGTTCAAGGAGCTGCGGGCCAGGCCGTCGTTTGCGCCGCCGCAGCTGCCCAAGCCCCTCCGGGGATGCGTGTCCCGGGCGTTCCCTGGAGGCACAGAAATGCGTGAGACTTCCTTGTCCAGGTAGGCGGGGGACGTCAGCAGGAGAGGCGCGGCCTTGCGCGGGGCGGGGCCGGTTGAGAGAGGAACCTGTAGGAATGGGCAGGGCCTGCGAGCGGGAGCGGGTCCTGGAGGGCCTGAACTTGGATCCCATGAAGTTGGCCCTTCTTTCCCTTCTGGGCCCTATCCCCTCCGCCCTACCCGCCTCTTAGCCCCCACACCCAGTAGATTTGTGAATATGTACATCTGACCCACTGGGCACCATCAGGGGCCATGTCTAGGTATGGGCAGATCCGAAGGGGCACTTCCTCCGTGTCCATGGCAGAGTGTGTGGAGATTCCTGTGGACATGCATGCATAGAGGAGCTGGCTAATAAACTGCGGTGCACGCACGTGTGGCATTTGCAGTCCCCACACGTTCCCCACGCCCACGCGGACACGCGCTCACACCCTGGCAGACAGGATGCCCAGGCCCTCCCAGGGCCAGACAGCAGGCCAGCCAGGAGGCGACTGGAAATTCCGATCCCGCCTGGGCTCCACAAACACGGTCTGGAGACTGTGCCGGCAGAGCCCAAAGCAGGGTGGGGGAGTATGGTGGCCAATGGGGTGGTGGGGTCCCCACCCTACCCAGCCTGACTCTGCCCTCACGGCGCCTCTGCCCTGAAATTTCCAGTGGAATTTTCCATTTTATGGAGAAACCACGGGATTGGGAAGGAGATGTTCTCAGTCCAAGACCCAATCCTTTCCTGGGCCCCCAGCCCCTGCCTGCACATTTGCTCTCAGGCTGGAGAAGTCTCTGTCCTGTGAGAGGTACCTCTCCTGTCCCCAGCTCCAGGACATTCTCCTACCCCTCTACATCCCAGGTCCCTCCCCCAACCCAGCCCCGACTACTCCCTCTCTTCCCCCTTTCACACTTAGGGCTGCTTCAAAGGGGCCATGCTGAAGCATCTCAGGAACATGAGGGGAGAAATCTGCTGAGTGATTGAGTAGCAAGTCCTCCTCAGGAGGGAGTCAAGTGGTCCCTCTGCTCCTCTACCTCCCTGTGTCTCCACCAGGGTGCAGTCCCAAGATATGTGGATGCCCTGACCATGTTCTCCTGGGCCTAGTGGTCACCCCATCTGGCCAAACACTGCCAGGAGCCAGGGTCTCTCTGCAAGACCAACCTGGCACTTTGACGACCAGCGATGACCAGGGAAACTTCCGGATGCCTGGAATCTGTGCCAGCAGCCGGGCCAATGTCAGTGTCCAAATGAATGGCTTCTCTGCGGGCATGGCGCAGGCCCAGGCCAATAGCTCCGTCTCTGCAGTGGTCACTGTTGTCCTTGATAAGTTGGGTAAGGAGATGAGGGGACTGAGGCCTGGAGAGGAAGTTCTGGGTGACACTGAGTACTTGTGAGCAGGTGATCCGGAAGGACTCAGTGGGGGGAGAAATAGCATGTGATGGAGAAGGTGAGGTGTGGAATTGCAGAGGGAAGCACTGAGATGGGGTACTCTCTCAAGCAGAGTGGGTAAACCTGAGTGAGA